AGATTTTCAAGCGTGGCTGTAAACATTACCTCGTTTTTGCGTTTTTGAACTCTATTCGTTAGTTTTCAGTTGCGTTAGTTTTCAGTTGTTTCAACTTAAATATAAATCAGATATATCAATGGTCACTCTTTCTTTCTATGAGATTTAATTCAATTGCAGTAATAAAAATTAGTGTAGAAATGAGTGATAGACTAGCCTGAAATTCTTTACCGGTACTTTTAAAAACAGATCGTTGTATGCGATGAATCATAATGATGGTTTGAAACACATAACCCATTTTACGGGCGCCAACACACAAAAGCACCCTTAAAATACCCTCGAGAATATTGCAATGGTAAAGTATAGGAAGAATATTCCGGGGTCAAAGGTCGGGGAAAGGTGCATAGCTCTCAATCAACCAATCAATTTTATTTTAATCACACTGATAGGAACAAAACAACAACAAACGGACAAACAAAACACAGACGACCTGGAGGACGGGCATAACTTAATAAAAAATTTATAAACGTACAAGTACATGCCCGTCCACCAAAAACAGTCAAAAGAACACAATAAAACAAATAAGCGATGTAAAATCGGGCAATTACAGTACCTTAGGATAGAATTTACATATTTATCCTGGGGAGAGAAAAACCGAGAAGACGACTCAATCATATGGCGAACCACGGCCTCTCGACCAGCGGTTACGTTAATCACCCTACGGTGGCGAGGAGTCCAGCAATCCTCTCGCACATGATTATCCCTGCATGCGATGCGAACCTACGAAGAGTAATCAGAGATGAGGTGGCGAGCGTATTCCTAACGCTTGGCACGATGCGCCACACCGCCAAGCCTCTCAAATGAATTTTAAAATGTGAGACGTGTATTTGTATCATAACGATCCATGCACAAACGTAGATTGGGGTATCGGGTTCTTCTGTTTACTTTCTTTCAAAGACTGGCTACTACAGAACTAGTAAAAGTTTATTTCGACTCAATAATCAGCACAGGCCTATTACAGCTATAAGACGAGGGAATAATTGAATATGGTATTGTGTGTATGCGGGTGCTCTGTAACGTCTGAGAAACAACCTGACCGATCTTTTCATGAGTTCCCAAAGGATCCAAAGCTTCGGAATAACGCAGAATTAAAAGTAAATTCAATTCATAAACGTTTTTGACTGAAGCCCTGTTAGATTATGCAGGCGAAAGTGTTAAGTTGGTCATTTCATTTTGTATCATAAAGTTATGAGCTCTTTATTGAAATATTTCACTTTTACAATAATTACAATAACATATCAGGCAAAAGTTAGGCATTTAAATACAGGAATCACTGAGAATTTCAAAAATGAATTTTCATCATCAGTTCATCGGTATTATTCACTCTATACCAGGGTGGTCCAAACCAAATGTGGCCCGCAGCTTCATAATCTGTGGCCCGCAGCTTCATAATCTGTGGCCCGCATCGAATTTGGAAAGTAGTCAAAGAATCGCATTTGGTGTTGTTTTCATATAAAATCAACCAGAAAATTTTTTGGAAATATTGTTACATCGCTAATGTCGCTGAATTGATTAGTGTTATGATCGGCTGAGGCAACTAGCGAAGTTAAATGATGTGCTTGGCAGTCTAAATTTTTTGCTAAACCTTATGCTAACAATTTTGGCATTATAAAAAACGATTGCGGATTTTATTAGCCTAGGTCGGCTATGCCTAATAACTAAATATCAACGTTGTGGCCCAACAATATAGCTCATGCCGTGTGTTTTTTGCAACCACCCTAAACAGTATTAGAAAAAATGCTGCCTATTTCTCAGAAAATTCAGTATTTACCCTCCTGTTAGCTTACATTCTGTAATCAATGAATCTGCAGTTATTTATAAGGTATTTACGACTCGACTAGTCTGTATCTCGACTAGATTGCTTTCAATAATGAGCTGTAGCATCAGGTTTGAGACATTGCACATAAACTGCAAATTTAGCTTCATAAAATTATCCATCTAAGAAAGTTGTTCTCAAAGTTACCACGCCTACGGACCCCAATAATTTCAAACCTAAATTACAATACAGAACACAGCTTAGAGCTATTTGGACAAGATTCAAATCAGCTGCCACTTCTCAAATTTGCAACACAAATTGAGTTGCTGATTTATTGCAACTAAACAGTGCCTTTTAACCTTAGTGTGAAGGATGTGCTTGCAGCTTAGCACATATTTGTTTCATTCCTGGGTTGGTATGTGAAATTGCTAATCTTGCGTGATCTCTTACAGAACTGATAGTCTGACAAGATCGCTGAAATGCGGTCATGGAACAAAGACATGATGCAAATTTTTTATTTTAATGACGTCATCACACAGAAAAGATAAATACGAATTTCATAGAGACCACATAAATTTTTGAACAATCTTTAGCTGTAGAAAATTTTTTAGCAATTGATCCTGTAGTTAAAGACTATTTTTTCCCTACAAGAATGAGAAAAATACTAAGATATCCATAAGGCCCTTTCGTGTCCAATAAGTAAAGTGAAATTCAAAGAACTAACTGACACAATAGCGCCAAGAACAACGTTAGTTTATAACGCCAAAACTAACAGCTGTTCACACACACCCACCCTATCCAATTATCCCTCGCAGACCCCAGTTTGAGAACCACTGATCTAAAAGAAATATGAATAAGTGAATTCATAACCTTCCTAAATGTGGAGTTTCCCTATTAGTTATATAAATATATAATCTGACATTGGTTAATATCAGAAACCCTTTGAATATGAGTTAACAATAAAGTAATTCAATAAAAGAAAAACAAGAATTATTTTTATTCAGCAAAATAATTGAAACAAAAGCTAATACTACATAAGCTTTGCCTGTGAGTACTTTAAGTCTCACACCAATCAGTATTCACTGGCATGTAATTTTACACTACAATGTCTCATGGTCTTAGTAGGTTTTGGGGTTTCAATGGACCTTCATATTTCCACTCATATATCAGCCTCCTTAATTTCTGAGCTACTCAGGAATTTTTTTTGTTATTTTTCAATTTTTTTTTATATTACAAAATTTAGGGAATACATGAAAATGTTTTTTTTTTTCATTTTTACTACTTTTTTTTATTTTTTTTCGATATTTTTTACTTTTTTGAAAACATTAAAATTTTTTTTACGTTTTGAAACTTTTTAAAACACACGAAGTTATAGAGAAAACCTATATACATTAGGAGGATTGAGGATTGGATAAGTTGAATTATTTATCCAATTGTTATTTCATTCCAATACAGCAAGATTATGTACAGTGTTGTCAATCCTGTAGCAAGAAATGCTGATTGCAATGCATGAAAATTTAAAAAGCTGACATATACAAAATGGAAATTTACAATAAGCATTGCATGTCATTGTAATATTCTACATGTATTACTAATATAATATACCTAGAATTTATAATACACATATGTTTTTACTTCACATAGACTAGGGGCAAAGTTACTTTGGGAGAGTCCTCAGCTACCATTCTGCTCTCTCTGGTTAGGAGCATTATGTCTAACCACCAGGTGGAGCCAGAGTTGAAATTAAATTATTATAACATTCATGAAAAATGCGGACAAATCACAATATTTAAACATCTCAGAGATGTTTTAAAATATACACATAAATTGTAGTTTCAGTAGTTGACAATAATTGTAAAACATAAGAGCAAAAGGTGATGCATCTCACAACAAAAATTAATAAAAATTCGAACAATAGCTTTTTAAGACGAGTTACGATTAGGCTAAATAAAATTAGCCAATATCAATACATACAATAGCAGTTGTAACATTTATCCCATCACTAAGTGAAAGCAAGTCAAGTTTATTTTTTCTAACCAGTAAAATAAATATCGATCGACAACAAATTATGAGTTTTACTGAAGAAGTGAGGCCACGAGGAACCAAAGCTGGTTATCGAGCAACGACACCCAAGGTCCAAATATCTCCCGGTAAATAAAAAATGGATATATTTGTGATGATGGTGAGTACCGTACAAATTATTCAACTGGATATCACTTACTAGATATAGTGAATTTACTAAAGATTACATTAATACCAAGTCAAACACCAATTGATGGGGAATTTCCCATTTCTACTGACTGCTGCAATAATCGAGCAATCAAAATTATGCACTAGCTATTAATATTTATCGGAAAACAATGAGACAAATCGAGAAAACCTAAACATGTGTTTTGTTTACAATGTCATAGTCAAAAGTTCCAATCAATCGGAAACAAAAAAGAAAGAAAATGAAATATGATAGTGACGCAACTAGCCTGTGAGCTTTTTGAATGTTAAACAGCCAAAATACAAAAATAGGCAAAGGCTGTAAATAAATCAGGTTTGAGACATCGCACACAATAAGCACATTTTGTTTCATGAAATAAGAGAAAATAAATGAATACCAATCTTTTTGGTAAATTTTGTAAATGAATATATCAAAATGAAAGCTTTTTTTGTTTATATATTTTATTATTTTTTTTTTATTTCAAATATTAAGCTAATGTGAAGTTTCAAGGAAAACTCATATATACAGTAAGAAGGATTCCAATACAGCAAGATTATGTGCAGTAGTTATCAATCAGGAAAAACTAAAAAATCTCAAGAAATAATGAAACTACAATTACCGGTACATAAAATTTTTAAAATCTGGTTGACATAAAAATAATATATATATTCAATACACCCATCGGTATTCACTGGCATGTGATTTTACACTATAATATCTTAAGGTCTCAGTAGATTTTGGGGCTTCAGTGGACGTTCATATTTCCACTCATATATCAGCCTCCTTAATTTCTGAGCTACTCAGGAATTTTTTTTAGTTGTTTTTGATTTTTTTTTCTATAATATAAAATTTAGGGAATACATGAATTTTTTTTAAATTTCATTACGGTTTTTTCATTTTTTTTTTGCTATTTTTTTATTTTTTTTAAACATGAAAATTTTTTTATTTCCATTTTATGACTATTTTTAATTTTTGAGGATTGGATAAGTTGAATTATTTATTCAATTGTTATTTCATTCCAATACAGCAAGATTAGGTACAGTGTTGTCAATCATGATAAACAAGAAATGCTGATTGCAGTGCATGAAAATTTAAATGGAAAATGCCTTGTTATGAATACTTCTGGAGCACCGAAACGTCAATATGAGAGATTCCAATAAAGTTTATGAAATTCCAGCCAGAAACAAATTATAGGGTTTATTCAGGTGTGCCGCCTCGCGAAATAAGCGCTGAGAAAAACCGCTACAAACAAGAAAATGGCAATTTGGAAAATCAATTCTGGTTCACGGTCCCCGTTTTCATCTGCATCTCTTTGCTGCTCTGCTTCTCTCTGTTCGATTTGTGCCTAAATAAAACAGCCAATTGTCACTGTCAGCATAATATTTTGTTAGTCAAATTAAATGCATGTCCTGTGAAGGGATATTTATAAAATGAGGTTGAGTTGTATATTATCTTATATTTATATTATATTTAATTATTTATATTATATTTGATAAATTTATTTATGTTAGATTATTTTCATGGTGATATTATCATTTTGTGCATATAACAGGAGAAAGTGTATGGACAATTGGACAATATTTCAACCTATTCAAAATATTCAAACAATCACTATAACACAAATAATAAATAGCTTTTTATAAGAATTCCATTTCACTGGTTCCTTTAAAAATTATGCTTCGAAGAAAAACCCAAACAATTATAACGGAGGAATAGAACTGGATTTTTTACCAGCTGTTTCTCAAATACCATTTATCTGCATATTCATTGCATTTACTCACATCTTGTAAAGGTTGTTGAAGATTGTTTTCTTGTTCATTCACAAGCATGTTCCCTGCCACATGAACATCTCCGAGGAAATTGGCAATTCGCTGTCCTGGCATATCTGAACATTATGAGATACACATTAGATTCATATTCATTTATATTTCAACTTTGACGTTTCAAGAGTAATGTTGATTGGGCAACATGAGTGGCCAGAAACAGAAACTAAACAAAATGAGCCAAACTAGAATTTTTTTTACAACAGAAAGCCTCGTTTTAACAATGAATACTTGCATCATGTTGAGTGGTCAAATGACAACTTGAACAACATAGTAAAACTGTACGAGGCGAAAGCAAAAGCCCTAAATTACTCACCTATTCGTTCCACTGGGAAGTCAAAATCACGATTGCAATTTTCAGGTTCATTACCATCCTTAACCATCTCATATCTGATGTTACGTTGGGGATATTCCTCTAAGACAGGGAAAAGATGAATCGTGTATTCATTTCTTTGCTTTCTCAGGAATTTTTTGTCTACCAGGAAAGCATGGCCATCAGGAAAATTGAAATGCAAATTTTCTGGTCCGCGGTCAATTTGAAGTTTCATGCGAACTCTGTCTCCAGTTTGTAACAGGATTTGAGGGAGAGGAAAAGGAGCAAGTTGTGCACCCAGGTCTTTATAATAATGTCTGACATTGTTCTGAACAGTCTCACCACATGTGAAAAATGCAAGATGAAATTGGTTTTTGTTTAAAATATAAAGGCGATGTTCCATAAGAAGCTCCTGTGTTCCAAATAGCGCCCACCTGATGACGGCTGAAACTGGGCTGAACTCTCTGCATCGAAATTCTATGCTGTTATCCTCAGTGATTCGATCAGGTTTAATAATGTTCCAATCAGTTTTACTTGAGAAATGTAATATGTCAATTTTGTCTTCATCTAGACCGACACACCATGACTGGATTTGCACGATCGCATCTTCGAGGAATTCGGAATCTGCACTGATATCGAAAACTGGTGTGATACCAATGTATTCTTCTGGACATAGTGAATTGTCAATTCCAACTGACATCCAGACCTTTGTTTGTTTGTTGAAAGTTCCACTAGGAAACGTGACTTTGCACTCGTTCAGTCTCAGGGAGCCGCCGGCAACTTCGACGTTTACCACTAAAAAAATAGATTTGTTTTATAATGCGAAAAAAATAAATTTTAACCGTTTGTTCCAAAGTTATCTAAAGAACCTTTCCGATGTCATTAGGAGTTCCATATTCATCCCGGTGAAAGGAAAGTATATACGACGTTTCAGTTGTATAGCGAACAACAACCCCTGTTCGATTACCAGTCCAAGTCAGGTAGGGAAATAGTTAACCAGTAATTTGTTCCAGATGCATAAAGACCATTAGGGAAAGGAGATAATAGGCTACAAAAGGAGAAGATTTCTAATTACTAATATAAACGAAGTAGCTTGAGCAGGTAATGGGTACTTGGACATAAATCAAAGCAGGCTCGGCTATAATTTCACTAACATTTGAACATTTTGCGCAAACAAAGCAAAATATAGAAAAGACTTGGGAAATACGACACAATATTTGTTACCAAGTCGCTAGAGTCATTACCTGTGTATTGAGTTAGAATTTTCAATTTTTTTTTTTTTTTCCCAGATCAGTCAGGTATGGAACAACTTATCCACATTTAGGAATAGAAATATGATTTGGTTCCATAAATTTGGATTGCTTGTATGACCAGAGCACGATATATTTTCATTAATTGCATTTAGGGGAAGAGGATGGTGTTTAGGAGGCATTAAAGTAGTGGTTTCTGCATGAATTTTTCAGTACTCCCAAAGTATGTTGACCAATATGGCAGACACCGAGACGTGGTATGTGTACCAGGTTAGGATTAGGCCATAATTTCAGGTACAAATACTGCAAGAGTCACTTGGTAAGTCCCGGAACTCAATATGTGTACCAGATCAGGATTAGGCCATAATTCCAGTTACAAACACTGTGGGAGTCACTGGGCTAGTCCCCGAACTCATAATAGAAATAAAAAAAGGAAAATTGTATAATAAAAATATGGCCTAACCCTAACCTGGTCCACATACAACGTTCCGGTGTATCTTGAATCACATACTTCGGGGGTGCCAGTATTCCACATAACAGTTTGACATAGTGCAGTCGAACGACAGTGAACGAATCTTGAACTACCACAAATGGTAGAATAAAAACACTGTGCCTTGGTCAACGGATGTAAATCATTTTCATTTCGAAAAAATGTCATTTGGAAGCACTGATTTTATGCCAATAAGCCTTCTTCTCATTACAAATATACAGCATTGATATGTATGGCAATTCATATTTAATTGATTTTTTTGCTATTCCAAATACTTGCCCAAAATTTTTTTTAAGTCTTAAGTAAAGTTGCTATTACTGTTATTCGAGTTCGAATGAGTGAGTTACTCGAGTCCCCCAAACATTGCTACCAAGGCCCACAGAACACCGATCAATATGTTATTGAAACAACATTGTCTAACCCAAATTGCACCAATAAGTGAATTTCAGAATGAAAATGCTTGATATTTTTATAACAATGATGATGCGCCGCCACCATGCAGCTACACTCACCGACTATTTATTAGAACAAAAAACAAGTTGAAATATAAGGTTGCTACTCCACCTAATGATCAATGGCCATAACTTACATTTGATAACATTCCTTGACTGTGTTTTGATGCCAGAGTTTCCCAATTCATCTTTGGCCCAGACTTGAAAACGATATGTTTTACCAAGTGTAGGTGACTTCATTCTATACTGAGGAACCTCTGTAGTATGAGTCTCTCCAAGTTTCACATCATCACAGAAGATTTCTATGTTGTATAGAACGTTACTGTCAGGTACTTCATTCCAAGTCAAGAGAATGTCGGATCCACTTCTTTGAGACGAAACATTTTCAATTTGCAGCAAAGCTATAAATGAATATTTCGACTTAGCATATTTCGATAAAGAAACATTTTCAATATAAGCTGTGAACTTAAAAATTATTTCTGGGCAATTCATACAAAATCGAATTTAAAATAGTAGTGAGTAGCAATTCAGATATTTTTGAATCAATAAAGCAGGCTTAACAACTGTGAGTGACCTTTTCAAGCAAAAGCCAAATACAAAGATTCATGTGCAACTAATAGGAAATTTAAGACTCAGTTAGCGATATATGCTAAAAGCAGGATGAAATGTTTTCATTGGAATTGGAGCTGGAGTGATATTTTCAAACTAAAAGTCAGAAGTAGAAATTGAAATTTTATCTGGGTAATACGGTAATTTCAGAATTTTATGAATTTTTCATTGAAACTCAAACACATGAAGTGACCAAGCGTTTCTAACAGTGTATTAAATAGGCATGCACACGGCAATTAATTATAATCAAAATTTGATTTCCTTGTAGTTTGGAGCTGAAGTTGATATCTTCTCCAACCTGGAGTGGGTTTTATTTGTCCAGTTTGGCAGTTGATTTGCCAAACCTTACTATTTGTATGGAAATTTGGTTAAGGACAGATTTAATTATTTCACGGGTCTGCAACAGGTGGCTCTGGGGCCATAAACCATTCCGTCAAGCTATTCAGTGTGGCCCTTGTCAGCATTCAAATCCCCCCAGGAATAAAATCCCAATCCGACTGTTTATGTTGACAGTTCTGACAAAGCTGATCTTAACAAACTATGCAAGAACTTGAAGTTTCCAATGTCCCACTAAACTGTTACATAAATGGGATTCTTTATTGTGGGAATTTTTCAATTTTAATGTTATGGAAAAAATTTTTTGTCTGGCCTAGCTAGATGTCTGAAGTTGGTTATATGGCCCACCGGCAAAAAATGTTGCACACCCCCTGTATTATTACAACATCTCAATGATTCAGCACTTTCTCATAATTACAAGCATTTAACTCAGCCCAACGCCATCTCATTCTATTAAGACGACTGACTTACTATGCTGAGTTGGCTTTGCAGGTTGTTCAGTTACTTCTTTATCTGATTGTTCTGCTTCTTCTTCAGACAGTGGGATTTCACTTCTGAAGATAAAAATGGAGAATGCAAATGTATTAATTTTGATCCATTGGTTAAAATAACAGCCCCTATTACTCGATTTCAAAACCCTTCTTCCCTCACCCACAGCGTTAAAGATTGTGCACCAGGTAAGCTGGTGGGCATGGGCTTTAAACCTTTTTACATATTGTAATTATTATAAATGTTTTATTATTTCTCATTTTGAATGATGTGTATATAAATATATATGCTTATCAACAAGCAAAGCTGAGCAATTTGTCGACTTGACATCAGATTTTAATGACTTATATGAATTTTGTTCAAGCACCTGTTTGGAATGGCCACAAGTGCAACCTCCTACCTCTGCAAAGCTGGGTTTTCAACAGTGGTGTCAATCAAACAAAATACCGGTTACGTATGGACATAGAGAGAGAAATGCATGTGCATAAGAAGTATAACATCGCACTCTGAAAAGATGTGTTCAGAGCAACTGCCGCACACCTCTCATTAGATAAATAAGTGTGAATGTTTTTTAATGGCATTCCCTTTTCTTGAGGCGCACATATTGACAACTTTAAAAAGCATAAAATGCACGATCACAAAATTCAGTTTTATCCAAAGGCAGCAAGTTCCATGTACGTGTACGGCGATTTTTTCCCTGATAATTTAGCGCCGTACGAACATAAAGTTTGGGAACCGCTGCACTAGGCCATCACTATCCTTGACAATTGAATTATAGGTCAGCATTATATATCATACAAAATACTGTTATATCTAACCTGGGGCTTCCTACTTCTTGTAAAGTCTCCACATTTTCTCCAGTATTCTCAAAACTGTCATCTGGTAATCCTGAGAAAAAATAAAAAATAATTATCAAAAAATTATAGTATTTAGGAATCTGTTTTGAGCTATTTAACATCGTATATCAGAAATTATGATAGAATTCCTTTTTTTACCCGGCAAAGAAAAATAAATCAATAATGCGGCTTATACAGTGAACCATGTCCTCTCATCCGGTTACCAATGCATGATTGGGTATGGGATTAATTAGTTAGTTATTTGTTTCAGATGCATGAACTTGATGATGAGGAAGCTCAATCAACCAGTGGGTACATGAACCACTATTTGACGACATGAAATTCAGCAAACCTCTCGCACTTAATTATCCCCAAGATCCGAAACTGTGAACCGAGCAAGATAATCAGATTGGTATGCCAAGCATCCATCCATAACAATGCTCTGCAACCAAATGTAACAACTTGGAAACAATTTATATTTTTCCATAAAATTAATTTTGAATATCCTAGATTTATATTCAATCATATCACACTGAAAATTTTGTTCGATATTTCCATATTTATATTAAACAATAAAAATACAAAATCTGTTTAAAGAATCACAATAGGCTATATAACATGTTGCAAGATGCTGTTGAATGATATGCCAGATTCAGCAGCAATGAAAGTATATTTATTAACATTAAATCCTCAAAAAATGAAAAATACTTGATGACCATAACTAAAATACTTGATGACCATTACGTACTCATCATACCATAGCACCACTCAATTTAAACAACATATTTATAACTTACCAAATTCAGCTTTTGAAGTTGTGGTCGGAAGTTGTTTAGAAAAAACATTGGTTGTAGCATCTGCTGACTTGCTTTGACTTTTGAGTATTGTGCTATCCAACCAATTTCTAGTTCCTGTAATGAATAAAATTTTTATACAAGATTAGCACTAAGGACGCAGAACAATATTTAAACAGAACAACGGTATCTAATGATTCCAGTGCTAAAATTTGATGCATTTTCCCATAAAACCATACTATATAAAAGTGCTGCTTATTTTATTAAGAATTCTTCCATTTATTGAAAAACTTTCAAAATTTGCATATTTTATCTTATCTTTGATAACTCACTAAACTGACAGTCTACAATTGGTAATTCATTAAAATAAGAATATTGTGAAAAATTAGTAAATTCATTTCAAATTTAGACTTTTGCTTGGCGAAACAGAAACACAAATGAATCTTGATACAAAACCTTGATATTGTAAAATTTTTGATAGATCATGCAGTAGAGCAAGATGAATGATAAATTTTGGAAACTAAAAAAATGTACTATGAAATTGTTCTTTTTATCAAAACACAAATAAACCTAAATAAAAAATAGCAAATATTGAATATGTACGACACAATCACATTGACTGCGAGGACATTATATTTTAATATAAATACAATACACTTTGGTGAAACTTAGAAGTGTTCAGTCCAGCATGAACAATTTAGACCTTGCAGTTTATTTCATATTTCACTCAAATTGTTGGTTTTATGTCTGTCCCATATTTTATATTTAGTTTATCGCAGAAAGAATTTCAAACCTCAGATCCAATTTCATTCAATTGATTCTGCAATATTTCTTTATCTTCATCTGCTATTTTCCATCCATGCAATGATAACTCCTTTGTAACATTAGGAAGCAGATTAGCAACTGCAACAATATCTTCATGGTTTGCAGTTCTATCTTCATTCAGATCCAACTGATCAATCTGTTGAAATAGACAAATACAAAGAACAATCAGATATGGATGAAACATATAACAGTCATATTCATCATAGTTTTGCCAAACCCATATTATTCATATTACACAGAAATGCATTGTAACATTAAATACAGCCTGGTGCTAGAAGTTGGGAGTTTTCATCAAGGGAGAAACAATAGTTATCAAAATTCAATGTTTTCGTTGTGTAGCATTTTTTGTGGTGAAATCAATTGTATTTCACAAATTGCTAACATTTGTAATCATTGTACCAAATTGTAAAATCATTGTTAACTCAGTGCAACAGAGTCAAAATTAAAAATTTCAAAAACAGACAAGCTCTTGTGACATTAAATACCTAGCCAGGTGCCAGAAGTCAAAGGTTGTTTTGGAAGGTAATTCATTGATTCTGTACTAAAGACTAAAAGTTAAAGTTTGTCACAAGGTTTGTTGTGAAAAGGCATGCTTAATTCATGTCCCAAAGGCCTAATTGGCCTGTCTCATTAGAATTTACTAAAATACAATGGGACATACAAACATTCATGATATCAGAATTAATCCTTCCATTGTAAATGTCAAAAGATTTATAGCGTTAATAGTGCTTCAATCAGTGTGACGTACATATACAGCTTAGAATAAAATAGAATGGGAATCGCATGTCAGTGAGGAGAACGTTTAAGTACGGTCTAGTAAATCCAGAGGCGCTAGTCAATGAAAAAATAGAGACTACAAGCACCATTAAGCGTGGTAACCATGACAACTGCTCACCCGGGGGCACTGGCAGCTGATTAGATTAGGTACGGGTTTGAGTTTTCAAGGATGCATAAGATAGGATTTGCGAAGTGCAGGCGTGTATAAAATGTTAACTAATTAATTTACCCATTTGATAAGAAGAGATTATGAAACATGAACCTCGTACTGTCATTGTGCTTGAGTAAAAGATGAGCACCATAACTCTGTGTGAAATTATTAAGATTAATGATTCTAATCAGTGAATTGAATATTCAACGAAATGCGGGTAACTATAAAGACTATAATATGAAACAGATATTCAGGGGTTCCGCAACAAGCAGTCAATGAAATTTTTAACAACAATTGGGAATAGTGTAGAGATGTAACCATTCATGTTAAAGGTAGTTGTAATGCACAAAATATAACATTTATTAACAACTTAGCATAAAAGGACTAACTAACTGATTTGAGATCAAGGTTTATTGTACATCTATGGCCTGGAAATTATTGTTTTGAATGTCATACTGCACCCAATATTATATATGGGTGATATCCTCAGAACACTCCTATCTATCGCATGGAATATGTCCATGCAATGGTACCAATTAGCAGAGAAATACACTATAAAACTACGGTAATTATAGAATGAGATTTAAAAAGTCACAAATCACATAGAACGACTATTCCAGGTACTTACGACTCAATAGTTATGAATCTGGTCAATTGTTTAGCTGAAAATGGCGAAAAAATGGAATACCAACACGACATTAACTGGGAGATGTGGCAACAGCAGATTGGTAAAAGAGGAGAGCATGAGTTTTTTATATTTTGCAATTCGGAAATTCGGTTTTCTATTCGGAAATTTGGGTGGCTCCGTCAGGTAACTATCTAATTATAATAACACATATAAAAATTTCTAATAGTTCATTGATAATTATAAAATTTATCGTTTTGCATCTTATAGGCCTACTGTTTTTTAATATTAAATTTGACGACAGTGATACATCATAAAAGGCTGACCTAACTCTGAATGGCCTTGGGGTTGTAGGTCAAAATAATTGCATTCAATGAAGTGGTAGCAATTGGCATTAATACACAACATAGTGAAATTCAAATTCGACAAATTTGGTAAAAATCCGCATTTAGAAAGTTGACCCACCCTTGTAACTTTAAATATAGCCTGGTGCCAGAAGTTGGAAGTTTTATCAAGTGAGGATAAATAGATATCAAAATTCAATGTTTCAGTCCAGTGACAATTTTTTTGGTCAAACCGATTGTATTTCATATCATCAGAAAAGAAGGGCAATTTCGCGTATTTCACACAATCACAGAACAAGACTCAACAGAACCGTATTGGTCAGAAGAATTGGTTATTATGTTTTTCAAACAAATCTTTGAATAAACAAGTAGGCCTGAAAACTAGTCTCAAAAATGATAAACTTAGAATTGTAGAGGTTTTTCATAAATTCCATCATGCAATCCAATTTTGGGTTATGAAAGTGTAAAACTATAACATATTGAAAAATCAAAATTTCCTCCAACCCTTGTTGAAACGTTAATTATGTCATTATTATTGTGATATACCTCTGTGTTTCCCAAGGATGATTTGAAAGCTTGTAGTTGATCTGATGACAGGTTGCAGTTGCCAAGGCCCAAGTATTTAACACAGGATTGATTGGAAAGTATTTGTCCAACTGATGATAAACCTTCAACTCCCATGTTTGTGTTTTGATCCAGCCACAACTCCTTGATCTATAAAGAGACAAGAATAATTTATAAACCATAAAATCTATAAATGGTTCTCTACTGAGTGAGAAATAAAAAATTATGAACTTCTCAAACTGAAAGTAGTTTTCGATACAAAATATACCATTAATATTTCATAGAAAATACCGTTGAATTTAAAAACAAAATCTGAACTACAAAACTAGACATATCAGAATTAAAATCTGTAAATTCGGAATAGTTGAATCCCATGTTAACAACTGCACGATGAATGAATGATTGAGCAATTATGAAATCCTTAAAACTCATAGAACAGAACAAAAATCAATTTTGTTATGATATCAAAACAGTCACACTTGCATGTATGAATTCCAAAATTCAAAAGTCAAAAAATGTTTTGACCTGCCTTTGCTCACTATGAAATGAAAAATTCCTAAAAAGTTTGGCATTTGCGAAAATTTTTCGCAGTTCTTGCAGGGAAGTGCACTTTTAGTTAACAAAGAAAAATTGTAAGCTCATACTATAGCTTAAAATACAAAAAATTTGAAAATAAATTGGACAAAAACTCAGCTAGTTCTGTGAAGCTTCATTGAAAATATTCCTAAAAACTTTTTTAGTTCCTGATCAAGCATATTTATTGTGCACAGCGTATTTTTATTCAAAAATTTGAGTTTAAGTAGCTTTGGATGGTAACCATCTAATTATAATTACTCAATATCAAAATTTCTAATAGTTCATGATAATTATAAAATTTATCCTTTTGCATCTTATAGGCCTACTGTTTTTTATTATTAAATTTGACAACAGTATAAACACTAATACATCATTAAATGTTGACCTAACTCTGAATGGCCTTGAGGTTGCAGGTCAAAATAATTGCATTTAATGAAGTGGTAGCACTTGGCATTAATACACAACATAGTGAAATTCATATTCAAATTTGACGAAACTTTGTCAAAATCCGCATTTTGAAAGTTGAATCACCATTGTAACTTTAAATATAGCCTGGTTGGGAGTTTTTATCAAGTGAGGATCAATAGATATGAAAATCCAACGTTTCAGTCAAGTCAAGATTTTTTGTGTTTCATATCTTGGTAGCATTTGAAATCAATAAACAGAATTGTAAATTTATTTTTACTCTGCGAAAATTTCTCGCAGCTTTTGCAGGGAAGTGCACTTGTAGTAAACAAAGAAAAATTGTAAGCTCATACTATAGCTTAAAATACAAAATATTTGAAGTTTTGTTTTTTCACTTTAATACAAAAATCACCATTGGGTGAAATAGCGATCGGGTCGTTGCTGCAAGCCATGTCAATTGGACAAAAACTCAGCTAATTCTGTGAAGTTTCATTGAAAATATTTCTAAAAACGTTTTAGTTCCTGATCAAGCATATTCATTGTGTACGGCGGTTTTTTATTTGGAAATTTGGGTGGCTCCGTCTGGTAACCATCTAATTATTTAACACATATAAAAATTTCTATAAATGGTTCTTTACTGAGTGAGAAATAAAAAAAAACAAGCCGGTAGTCACCCAGGATCTCCGCTGATAGTTGGGGCCCGCACCTAGCTACTTATTGCCATCCATAGAAACTTGAGGATCTTTAACTGTGGCGCAATTAACTAAGTGAGCGGGTTGTTTAAAAAGTCCAATTCATTTTGAGCGCTGCGCGTTTTGTGAACATACTTACAGTGACTGATATGCGGTGACTAAAAATTGGAAAGAATCATGTTCATTAAAATCCCTGAAGCTTCTCCAGTTTATGGAGTATCGAGACCAAAGACGACTTATTGGAATTTCTAAGTTTTGATTCACGATATTCTAGTAATATTCTAGACCAGGGTGGTCCAAACCCAGGCCCGCGGGCCAGATGGTAATCAAAATTCGTATTTGGTGTTGTTTCGTCATAGAATTAACCAGAAAAATCTTTTGGCATATCGTTATATCACCAATGTCACTGAATTGAACAGTGTTCTTAGGCGACTAGCAAAGTTGAATGATGTGCTTGGCAGTCTAAATTGTTATCTGGATTTCTATATTTTCGGTCACGAATATATGCTAACAATTTTGGTATCATAGAAAACTAAAAATCGAATTAGCTTGGTTGGCTATGTCTGATAACTACCGGTAATATTAATGTCATGGCCTTACAATATAATTCATGCCGGATGTTTTTTGCAGCTCGCCTGAACAGTATTACAAACAATGCTGCCTATATGTCAGAACATTTAGTAATTACCCTCCTGTACCTCACATTTGGTAATCAATCAATCTGCAGTTATTTATTTGTAAGTTATTTTGCAAATGATGAATTCAAACATATTTTTACTGAATGTGGGGGAGGGGGGGTACCACAATGCTTGCTTGATATGTCGGCAAGTTTTTGTCGGTGACAAAAGAATATACGGTAATTTAAAACAGCATTTCAGAATCTTGTGAGCAATGAGCATTTCCAAAGTTAAGATTCTGCTTTAAAAATCCTATAGCTGTTCAAAGCACTCACCGGTACATTTGTGAAACACTTTTTCCGTTATGAAGAGTTTGAAATCTTACACTAAACGTAGATATAGAAAGCCTTTTGCTGGTTTAGTAAGTTTTTTGGTGGTCCTTGCATGTTTTAGCTTGATAAATGACAAATACTGATCAACGTGGCTAATCAATTTTGTGCCCTCTGGAGCCGACAACCTTGGACCACCCTGTTCTAGACCTTACCATTGAATTTGAAAAACATAAATCAACTACAAAAGTAGACATATCAGAATCGATATATATTGAGTGAGCCACTCAAACACTGAGGAATTCTGACCCATGGTGTCAAATAGATCGGAAGTTTGAGCTTCATGAAATCCTTAATACTCACAAAGCAGAAAACTACATTAAAATATTACTATGATATTAACACGGCCTATTTCAATTTATTATTACAAGGAAGTTAATGGAATGCTGCTTCAATAGAGAAAAGTATCATGGTCCTCTGTTTGAGTTGAGTGACCATAGATTTGTATCTGGCTCTTATTCTGTTAACCGAAAATATTGAACTTGGAAAATGTATTTTCTCTCGTCATAAACAAAATAAATAACAATAAACAAAATTGTAAAATTATTTTTAACTCAGAACAACATAGTCATATTACGGTAATATTTCAAAAACAGAAATGCTTTTGTTGTCCAACCTTCAATGTTGGAAATAAGTAGCTTTTTAGAATTGTTATCATTCATCATTTAATGTTTGAAATCTGTTACCTTCTGTCCCAAATTTCAATCTGAATTGCATTCAAATTTTCAGAAAAATGTGTTATATGACTCTTTTCAATGTCGTTCACTCCAAACAGGCTATGTACAATTGTTTACTGATATCTGTTAGGAGGAAATACTATTTCCTTTCTTCTTTTTTAAGAGATATCAGTGAACAGTTGTACAGGGCCTAATTTAGAGTGAATGGTGTTGATAAGAGTCATATAGTACATTTTTCTCAAAAAATATATTTAATGATAAGTACTCAAGAAAGAATACTTTGCTAATTTGGTTCTAAAATTTTCTTTCAATCAATTAAACTTGGAAAATCATCAGAAAAAAATTGAGTATGATATAGGGAAGTGGTTCCCAACCTTTTTTTTTCGCGACCCCAATTTTCGTAAAATCAACACTTACAGATACTCGCGACCCCTGCAACAAGAAAAGCATTAGAAACCATACCTACGAAGTTAATTCGTTCCTAAATCCCTTCGTAGGTAGGGACACATTTACCTGTAAATTCCCTAATCTGTTCTAAGATCCCACAAAACTACTATACTATTTGTATAAATCATATTATGGTTAAAAACCGTAACAAATACATGTTAGAACTAGACTACGGCATAATAAATAGAAAGGGTATATTCATGGAAAAAAACAGAGAAATAACGAATAAAAACAATAAACTGTTTGTTCGCTTATCGTTGGCGTTAGTCGACTAGGCTGGGCTAAGAAAAGACCGTGGAGAGCGGTTGTATAGCTTTTAAAGGAGGTGAGACGAAGCGACAAAAGTCGACAGTTGAGAGCGACGATAATACGGAAATGAGCACACGCACATGAATTTCAAACTTAGAATATACTTTTTTTTACTTTTGTGTTTTTTTTTTTTTTTTTTTTTTTCTCTTCTAGGTCATTTATTTTTCAGTTTATTTTCTTTTGTTTAACTGTTCCGCGTATCGTCTTCTCACTGAAGTTAGCTAGCGACTCAAACTGACTGTTCAGACACATTGTACGTAACCGCGGGAAACAAACGAGCCAATGGGATGACAGGTAATTTCTGGGTGTCTGGCAGCAGCTAGCAGTGGCCCCAATTATGTTAATGAGAAGATTGCGCCTGTACATCGTTTGTCAGTTTTTGAGACCTTGGTGTAATGTTACTGAGGCACAGCCGCATGTCATCTTCTACACTCAACCTATTTCTGTGTTTTGTTTTAAGTACAGCCAATTTTCTTGAATTTCCGGATGTCATTTTAGTGAAGAATTTGTGATAATGGTTCAGTTATGTTTTATATTAAATTGAAATGTACCGGTAAGTAACTGCTTTGGAAAATTAGAAAATCTTTACATCCCTATTTATTCTTATATACGTATGTTTTTGGTTTGGCAAAATCAAGAAATTCTTTCTCCCTGCAGTCAGTTGAACAGGTGATGCAAATCTACCAGCAATCTCCCGACAATCTATTCATCATTATGCAATTTACGACACCGGTACGTTTCAACGTTACGTTACCGGCAGACTGATATGTAATAGACAGAGGAACAACGCATCAGCGCGATACAATGATTAAGCGTAGTGGACATAACTTAAGGTATCTTAAATAACTATCTCGCCCTAAAACTCAAGCTATTATGAAACCGAAAACATAGATGATTTAGCATGCAAGCGCACGTGTAAAGACTGTTGTCAGATCAGGGCCAAAGACAACAATACTTCGAATTGAACAACACGCATAAAAAAGCTGAAAACGTGGATATATCATTGACGTTCCAATCACTAAATCGCATTCTCTACCTGACCTTTAAAAACGTCACTTTACTAATTTCAAATTATTGATAAATATAAGCGAATTAATGTACATTCACAAGAAGTTAGGCGACCCCGAAAA